CATTTTGATGATTAGTTTAATTTTCGCAGATTCTAATAAAACGATTTATTTGTTTAGGATTGCCGTCGAAATGAGGGATGTTATCCGCTTGGTACCTAACTAATTGAAGATTCACCGTATCCGGCATTGTGTTTAAATTAATGTCAGAATCGGAATCGGAATCAGATGATGTATTAAAATTATCGACAGAAGCTACTCTAGGTTTTAACTCTAATGTTTCAAAACGAGAAATTAATCTTTAGAGTTTGAATCAAAAAAATATTTACAAAAGAAAAACTTACATTAACAGTGAGAGAACGACGATTTTCATTCCTGGTTGTTTCGTTTCTTAATCTAGTTTTCCAATAGGATGAGCGATGCTTGTCTCTTCCCTGGGCTACGTATGAAATTCGGACGATTTTTGTTCCTTATTTCGCACCAATAGGGTTTTGGACGATGCTTGTTCCTTCCCCTGGCCAACTGAGCGCTTTGCACCCACTTGAACAGTTTTTTGTGTTGTTCGGATTTCGCGAATAAACTCTTGAGAGTGACCAGTGTCGATTTTGGAATGCTTCTTTCACGGAAATCCTACCGACTGCGCCAGTTTTCGTCGTGGAAAACGAAAACTTTATTCAAGCGAGATGACAAAAAAGCTAGCGATGTGGTTCGCACCGTGGTTTTATATAGACAAATTGCTGATACTTTAAGAAACAAGTAATATAATATGTATGGGAACCTTTATAACTCGCACATATATTAGATATTTTTTGTTGTAATTAAGCGTAAGTGAATCCTGCCCACATGTTTCTCTTAATTTTTCTCGAATTAGATATTTGTTCAAAACAGAGGTTTTTATTATAGTTCCATATCGAAGGGATAATATTTGTATTTTTTAGTGGTGAGAGTAATGGCAGATTGGGATATTAAACTTGTAGTAAAATTTCTATTTCTATTTGATCATTGGTAACATTCTGGTTTACCACTTTACGTTTTTCATAATCAATACTACCACTAGCATCAAACCGTTTTCTTAAACACTAAAGAGTTTGTCTAGTTAGTATACGTCTACTAGGCTACTTGGCCTTGTAAAGTGTTACTGCCAATGAAGTACTTTTTTCGCCTCACCCAGTAAATACATTATATGAATTAATTTCTCTCACCCAGTAAATAAATTATTATCAATTAATTTGGCTTTTGAAAAATCCATACTTATTCTTTTTTATTTACTGACACCGCAATAAATTTTATAAATTTATTTACTCAGTTGCCAGGTAAAAATGTTAAAATATCATTTTGTCGTGGCCAACTAATATTAAAGCTTAGACAGAAAGGTAGGTAAATATTGGAAAAGTTGAAATAAATCACAAAGTATTAAAAACAGGTATATGATATACTTAATCAAACTTAATAAAGGTTTCTGTAAGAATAACGCCAATATCACATATGAGTGATCTAGCTTTAAATATAGTGGCGTTAAGTGTAAAAACTAGTATTTTTTAGGGAAAACTAAAATGTAAAAATTATTAGGTTTAGATATATATTATTATTAATAAAAAAAAATTGAAGAATTTAAAATTAATGCAATGTTTTATTCGGCATGCTTGTTTGAGCCACCCTGCATACTTTAAAATAATGTTAAATTATGCATCTTAACAATCATTTCAGCTTTCTCATATTTTTTGAAACCAGTGAGACAATAGTATAATGCAAGAAGTCCGGCAAACGGCATTTGACTCACGAGCGGAGCGAGTTTTTACTAAACGAGTGACTTAAAATGTTTACCGAACGTGTTGCATACTATAGTTTTTCTACTACCGTCAGGTTTTGGGTACATTTTCGCAAAACGACAGGAATACATTCACTGACATGGCCGTCAGAATTGACAAAAGTCAAAACTCAAGGCGAGGGAAATATCTCCGAAAACATCCGATTACTCCCACACCTGTGCGGTAAAATCGCGGAAATGTCCGAAGTGACTCGGATCCGTGGGAAATGAAACGAGAAGACCGTATTTGTCCAAATGGTCATTTGTTTAAATCGTATCGGGGCGTTCGTGGCTCGTTCGGGGCAGAGCGGTAGGGAGGCCGGCAAAGCGTTTCCGTGGAGAAAGAATTTTTCTCGATATAGAATAATTACGATTTGTTTACATTACAATTTTTTAAAATACATCAGTTAATATTTACAGTTACTCAGCTTAAAAGATTCAGTTGCATTTTAATTAATCAAAGAGCCAAACCTATCATAACATGTTTAAAGGTTGTCAATTATTTTAAATAAATCATTGCGGTCATACTAAAATTGTATTTAGGTACATTTTACTCGGAAAATTGAAAAGGCGATTATCGCGAATCATAAAAGGTTAATAAAAACGTGTGCCCAATTGTTCTCACAGCTAATATTATTGGTGATTGTTAAATTTATTCAATAGGCAATATGATTTATCAATATCTTTATCCCACTGAGACTATTTTGAGTATTGAGTATGGTTTTCCATTAAAACACTTTGGATTATGCAAAAAATTAACCAGCTACCTAGCATACCCAAGAATCAAAAAGCAAAAGTTACCTAAGTAGTTATCAGGATAACAAGTATGAAAAAATTGAAAGTGCATTAAAAGTTTAGAAAAGAACCTATTTTAAAAGATCAAATTGTAAAATAAAAATTCCTTGGTACTAATGAAATACCTACCTACACCCTCATTGTAGTATGTTTAATAGAAGTTGTAAGTGTTTTTAGCTTAAACAATAGCGCAATTTATTGTTTTTTATATAATGTACAATAACCTCTACTTTATTTTGTAAACCGTTAATTTTATTTTGTGTGTATGTACACTGTATAGTGGAAACCAGCTTTATAGATAATTAACCAAAGTAAATAATTTTATCGCTATAATGTGCATTTGTCCAAATCACCCTAGGAGCCGGCTTCGAACACCCAAAAGCGGTCGAAACATTTATTAAAAAAAAAAAGAGAGGTTAAACTACAACGGCTCAGATAGCAAACTAATTTATAAAATGCGGTTAAATTATTTTAATTTGGTTAATTATTAATTATATATAAGTGGTTTTCACTGTACAGTGTACTTACAAACAAAATAAAATTTACTAAGAGATTTTTATTTTACAATTTGACCTTTTAAAATAGGTATCTTTAAGTAATGGGCGCTGTTCTTTTCTAAAATTTTAATGCAATTTAAATTTTTCATACTTGTTATCCTGATAACTACTTAGATAACTTACTTTTTGATTCTTGGGTATGCTAAGTAGCTGGTTAATTTTTTGCATAATCCAAAGTGTTTTAATTGTCAACCATATCCTCAAAATAGTTGCAGCTGAATTGCTGAATTGCAATAATAATTTTAGCTGTGAGAACAATTGGGAACACGTTTTTATTAACCTTTCATGATTCGTGATAATCGCCGCATGCAATTTTCCGAGTAAAAGGTAAGTAAAAATACAATTTTACTATGAGCGCAATGATTTATTTAAAAAAAAATGGACAACTTTTAATCAAACATATTTATGATAGCTTTGGCTCCTTGATTAATTAAAATGTAACTGAATCTTTGAAGCTGAGTCACTGTAAATATTAACAGATGTAAACAAATCGTAATTATTCTCTATCGAGAAAAATTCTTTCTCCCCGGAAACGCTTTGCCGGCCTCCCTCCCTCGCAACCTCGAACGAGCCCCGAACGCACCGATACGATTTGGACAAATGAACATTTGGACAAATACGGCCATCTCGGGAATCTCAACGAAACTAACGTGGTATAGTGACGCTTTCCGCACGCTAGATCGGTGTGTAATTAGGTATTTTACAGAGGGGAGTAGAAAAAGAACTTTACTCTATCGTTGACTCACTCTGTACAGTTATAATAATAATAATAATAATAATAATAATAATAATCAACTTTATTTCACATTGTGTCATAAATACATTACCTAAAAATAATATACTAAACACAAAGGAAATCGGCGTCAAAAAAGGAAAAAGCACTTCTATGGAGTAAGGTTCTAACTCTATCAATAACTTTTTTATTGTGTATTTAAAGATTTTTTGATTTGCAATTGTTTTCACCTAATTTAGTAATTTATTATACAATCTCAGGCACATGTAATAAGGACTCCTGTAGTTCGAAGTCCTTTCGATTTTAAAAAAGAATATCAATGCTTCATAAATATGTAAAGCATATACAGTAAAAATACCTTCAGGCTTGAACACCACTCTACAGCTCTCTCTAAATTGCATTTTTTTGACAGTGCGAAGAGTCCTTTTTTGAACCACGAAAATTCTCTGTAGTTGACCACTACCCTTCCAAAAGATAATTCCATACCTTTAGCAGTTAGCATACATATTTCGATTGATCTAGCCATATAGCTATTAGAAATATAGAAGCCCTGCATAATGCCAATAGTACAGGAACTGATAAAGCAACAATGAAAAAGAATTATGATATCTCGTTTTTAACCGTGCAGCATTCAATAACCGGGAGACATATCGTCAATAAGTTTGGATGCGGAATTTTTTAGGCCATATTTTCTCGAAATATGTCCAGATCGCATTAGATCTTTAGGCAAAAAAAGTTAAGTGTTAAGTTTTTGGTTACTTCCAAAATCCAAAAAAGAAGAAGGTTAGTGGGTGAAATTTAGAGGCATGCGATTTTAAACGAAAATATCATAACCCCCTGAATCGCATCAATTTTTATAGTAGTAGGTGTATTATATCGCCATATTTTTCCAAGAGAAGCAAAAAACGAAAATGAACTATTAGTATTTATGCCTATAGCTTTGCATGCATAATTGTGACTTTCAAAACGTAAGTTGTATATATGTAGTAAGTAAGTTTTACCATGTATATTAAACCATTTAAAGATTAATGATGAACTTAATTTAATTTCAAAAAATTTTGCGCTTACGTCACTGTTCTGCCGGAGCAGAATATCTAACTATGAATATTCTTCTTTTGTGTCAAGCATAATTTTCTTTTGATATTGTTATGATTATTTTATTATTGTTTACCTGCACTAGTTAGAAGTCCCGTTCCAAGCCAAAGGTTTAAGAATCTATAAACATCGGCTTTGGTGTTGTGTTTTGTAGTTGATATTACTGCCTACAACGAATAAAATACGATTATACACAAAGTCAAAGAAAAAGGAAAAATTAAGTGTACTTTTGTTGTTCCAGAGTTTTTTTATTATGTGTATAATAAAAATCAATTTTTATTTTTCCAAAAAGGGAAAGTGATAAACTACAGTCGAAAATAAATTGTCCAAGAATTGTTGAACACAAAACCCCATAGCAAGCATAAAATGAACCTAAAATTCTAACTTGATTTGAGGCCTTCTTTAATAATGTTTATGTTTTATGTTTATATCCATTATGGCCATTAAGTATACCACAATTGTTAAGGCTCGTGATGGCACATATTCTAAAGCCACCTACAAAATTTCACATATCCTTCATCATCCTCAGGAAGTACATTTTGAGAAAATGCACAATTTTTATGGGCAGAATTTGTTCGTTTCTTAACACTCTCATCACAATTCTCTAAGAAGTGAAAAACTATTTGAAAAAACACCAGTCAACCTTTACTATAACATTCCTAAAACTTTTACATAGCACATAAAAAAATGCCAGAATAATTTATATATTTTTATACAATTTTTTTTTGCAGGTCAGAAGGCATAGAAGCTGCCCCAAGGACACTGAAATTAACTGGCATTCCAAGCTTAGCTCTGCATCAATTTCATGATAATAACTAGAATACAAGGAACGATGTGACAAAGACATAATGAAAGTGTATGCGATATAAGAGTGTAATCAGAAATAGCCACGCGAATTATTGCAACAGAAATTAAAATAAAATGGACGATTTACTGGCAGTCGTGAAACATTGCACCAATTTGTGCACAAAATCGCATTTAGATTTACAAATATTATCAAGCGCAGTCGTATGACACTATGAAGAAAAGGTGGAAACATTTTTCATTGAACTGCATTTAGTACTTAGCACTTTGTACTGCGGATCGATGAAAGGTTAGGTGCTAAACGCTTTGCTACTTTCAGCAAAAAACATTAAATATTGCTCATTAGACTACCATGGCAACTGAATTTTTTGAAAATTGGATAAAAAATTCTCCTCTTCCAAATATCCCACCAGGCAGCGTAGTAGTTTATGTAAATGTTAGTTACCACTGCACTTCAGCTAAAAAACTACCAAACGATCAGCAGCAAAAAAGAGGTATTACAACAGTTGCTTAATCAGCAGGACCTTAATTTTGAAGATACTTATACAAAACATCAACTATTTGAAATTTTAAGAACCAAATCGTATGATACAACTTTTTTCCTAGACGAGGTCTTAAAAGACTTCAGTAATATACCCCTTAGATTACCACCTTATTACTGCGCCGAATTTTGACGAAAAGATATAATCAATAAATTGATTTATATTTAATAATAAATTAAATTAATTAAATTAATAAATATAATTAAAACTTAGTGAAGTGAAAAATAATTACAAAAAACTTGGGTCAACTTAAAACCATTAATTATATCCTTGAATGGTAGACTAATTTTATTAATATTTATTTATTAAAAGTATCCTTCGCTCTTTTGAATTATAAATTACCAAATATGATTATAAACTCTGTTTGGTAATTGTTGTTGAATTGATGGAAAAAGAAGATCCATTCAGTTGACACAACTGGTGTTCATGAATTGAAAATCATACGATACGGTGCCTCTAAAAGAAGTTTGTAAAATATTAACGAAGAACGTAACTACGCAAAAGTCATATGGAACCGATAATTAATGGCCTAAAAGACGATCATATCATTTACTATTGTATTTCAATACAGTGGGTTTGAAATATCATTTGCGCCAAGTTTAAGGCTACATCCTTTTAAAATCTTTGATTTTTTGTTGGACAGATTTTCCTAAAACACACTAAAACCTTATGTTGCTTATTATATCAATTATCATTATTTTAAACAATTTAGTTTTTTCCAATTTAAAGCAAGTGCTAAAAAATTCTGAGCAGCCGAAATAGAGTCTTCGTCTTTTCAAAAACACAGGAACAATATTCACTAGTAGAGATACAATAGAAACAACATGACTACGTAAGGAGGATAAACGTATAGACAAGTAATAAGAGGTAATATAAGTCAAAAAACAGAGGCAACGGGCAGCAAGAAAATTCATAGACGGGATTAGAGAGACTATCATAGACAGGGAAATAATACATGATGACTGGGGAGATAGGAAAAAATGAAGGGCCAAATACATCGGAGGACTTAAGAAATTCGCTATATAAATAATTTACATGTATTGCAAAATTTTTGTTTTTATCCCAGAAAATTAAACTAAAATTTTGGATAATTTGTTTTCAAATTTTTTAGTCCTTTTTTAGTTTTGGTTTGCCTCTTATAATACTATGTAATGCATGCCATCCGCAACGTAAAGAACTCACCTCTACTTCATCTGGTCCAAAAACGCAAACTACAATTTTAGGCCCCAAATGTACAGCGTAAATTGGATAATATTGTTGAGCCCATTTCCTCAGAACTTTGAAAACATTATCTGCAATAAAATAGTCAACAAATATAGGTTTTGATACCCTATATTGAACATTCAATATTTTGCATTAAATATTATTGAAATTTATTTATAGCGATACATCGAAATTTCTTGAATCAAGAACTCGTTTAATTTTAAAATCAGGAAACCGAAACTTAAAATTTATTTGCTATAATTATATATAATATAGTAACAGTAAACTGTACAAATATTTGGTTTATAGATTTTGAAAATTAATTGTGCCTTACCCAGACTCTGTCAAAAAATTAAATAATCTTAATAATAATAGTTGTTTGGATTCACTTATACATTTAAAATATTAAGTAGTGAAGTATACGGGATGTTTGTATTTTCATGGACAAATATATATTTTTTTATTTTAATAACAGAATACAATAATAATAATAATAATAATAATAATAATAATAATAATAATAATAATAATAATAGTAATAGCTTTATTGCTCAACAATTGAAAACAATCCATTCACAGACCAATATACCGGGTGACACAAAAACACTTTATAACTTTTAAACTGCTTGAGATAGCGATTCGAAATTTAGAAGAGTTAACATAGGTTGAATATCCAATGTTTTGATAATATGTAGTCAATGCTTGCGGTATGAGCGCAAACGACAGTAACTTTAGAATTTTAAATGGCACAACCTACATATTTTAATAATTTTTCTTTAATTTTTGAAAATTTGTATCTAGGAGGTTGCGATATTTACCCGGTCCCCTGATCATGGAAAAAATTCTAAATGAATCTTTACTGGTCTAATGGCAAATAGCATACAATGTAATGAACTATTAATTTTTCAAGGTACAGTTATATATCTATTTATGATGACCGATATAATAATAAGAACGCATTCGATAAGGATAAGCTTATTCAGCTTTTATATACTATAAATACAAGTATTGTTCATGTGCTTATTTAGTCTCTTAAGTCGCTTCTTGTCGTAACGCTGCCTGTAAACGCTCGTATTGAATAAAAATCGTTTTTAGAAATACAAGTTTTGCGGACAGAAATAAAATTGGCGCAGTCGGTACGATCCTTTTCGGAGTGTTTTCGAAAATTTACTCGAGATTGGTGCGCTAGATTACCGTTTTTGGATTGTCAGTGCATTGTACTTCTCGAAAGTTTCTTCGCGATTAGTGTGCTGAAACGCCAGTTTGGATCATCAGTGCATCGCGAAAGGGATCGTGACACACTTCTGTTTCAACAGTTAAGAAAAGGATTTCAAAACATCATCGTTACACGGAGCACTTGGGGCTCTTGGCAACATCGACCATTGGTACGCCATTTCGATAGCCAGTAGGACGAACTAGCCTGAGCCAGCATCCACTACAAACGGCACCGTTCTTGGGAAAGAGCAGCTTCTCAACTGGACGTGACCATTTGATACAGGAACGAGACTAGGAACATATAATTGTAAGTGCGTTTACTAAACTGTGTTAGAACCCTTTGAACTTAATAATTTTGAAATCTTTAATTTTGAAACAACGGCCTTTAATAACCCGACAATAAAAAAAGAAATTACTGGGAAAATCGATATAAAAAATTTAATACGGCATGAACACCTAAATCTAGAAGAAAAGGAACAGCTCTTTAGACGTATTAAAAAATTCGAACAAATTTTACATAAACCCGGAGACACTTTAACCTTTACAAACCAAGTTAAACATATTATTAGAACTAGTGATGAAATTCCCGTACATGCGAAAAACTATCGATACCCGTATATCTATAAACAAGAAGTGAATAGACAGGTAGAAGAAATGCTACAAGGAGGAATAATTCGACCATCAAGTTCTCCCTGGAGCTCACTAGTCTGGATAGTACCCAAAAAGGCAGACGCATCCGGATGTAGGAAATGGAGACTCGTGATAGACTATAGGAAATTAAATGAAAAAACAATAGACGATAAATATCCAATACCAAATATCGCCGATATAGAGGATTCGATCGAATAGAAATGGATCCTGAAAGTATTCCGAAAACAGCGTTTAACGTAGAATACGGACACTATGAATACACACGTATGCCCTTCGGACTGAAGAACGCACCATCTACATTCCAGCGTGCGATGGGTAATATATTGCGTGGACTATTGGGTAAAATATGTCTTGTATACATGGATGATATAATAATATTTTTAACTAGTCTGCAGGAACATCTAAACTCATTAAAATTAGTCTTTGAACGACTTTCCTCCTTCCATATGAAGATACAATTAGATAAATCAGAATTTTTAAAGAAGACAGTAGAATTCTTAGGACATGTAGTAACCCCGGATGGAGTTAAACCAAACCCGAAGAAAATTGAGGCTATTAAGAATTTTAAAATCCCTAGTACTCCAAAAGAAATTAAATCATTTTTGGGCCTCGTTGGATACTATAGGAAGTTCATTAAAGACTTCGCAAAAATTACAAAACCATTGACACATTGCCTAAAGAAAAACGTTAAAATAACCCATGATAAAGCATTCGTCTCAACTTTTAATCTTTGCAAGAATATATTGACTAATAACCCTATACTACAATACCCGGATTTTAATAAAACTTTTGTCTTAACAACGTATGCTTCGAACTATGCAATTGGTGCAATACTTTCGCAAGGACCTATAGGATCGGATCTAACAATAGCATACGCCAGCCGAATACTCAACTCTGCAGTATGCCATTATTCTACGACAGAAATAGAACTTCTCGCTATCGTGTGGGCTACTAAGTATTTTCGACCATATCTGTTTGGTAGGAAATTTACGATAATAACGGATCACAAGCCGTTACAATGACTCTTCTCTCTTAAGGAACCTAACTCGAAATTAGTCAGGTGGAAATTAAAATTACAGGAGAAAAAAATGAAGAAAAAGATGATCAATACATTTGGCATGAAAAAATTAAACACTTTTTTGAATCACAGGAAAACTTGTTCGGACAACCACAGAAAATAATGACTGATAATGAATCTGCTCAATTTTTAGAAATTAGCAAATATAATTAAGGAAGTTAAAGGTGATTTATTTGAACAAAATAACTACTCGCTAGCACATTGTGTTGCAGCTGACCTTAGAATGGATCAAGGCATCGCCGTAGACTTTAAAAATAATTTTAAAAATGTAAAATATCTTCTAAACCAAAATCCAAAACCAGGAGGAATAGCTACGCTATTTGATGACAAAAATAATAGATTTATTTATTACCTAATTACTAAGGAAAAGTCCAGTAAAAAACCTACTTATTTCACATTATGGAAAGCCCTAAATAAAATGAAAACCCATGCTAAAGAAAACTATATAGTAAAAATAGCAATCCCTAAAATAGGTTGCGGATTACACCAACTAGATTGGCAAAAAGTAAATCGACTATATATTTAAGAATGAAAATATAGAAATTCTTGTATGCCACCTACCGAATCAAAGCGACATCGTAAAGAACCCCAAAATTAACATAATCTCAGATATCCAAATAAGACCTCCGAATAAAATAAAATATCAGATATCACAACCGGACGAAGAAAACAACCCTCAACCATCAATAAGTGAGCAAGTAACCCAAAACGAAAAAAGTAACTCTGATACGGAAACTATACATTCATCTATGGAAAACCCAATCATAGGAGTACCAGACGTTAATAAAGCAATAAATACGTTTAAAAATCAAATTATATTTAAATGGACTGAAAAAGAACAACCCCACGTTCGAATAGAAAAACTATTTGAAATTAAGAAGAGAATAACGATGTACATAAACGAAAACCCAATAATGGAAAGAATTCAAATGTTATTACGAGACAACTTACCACCAGATACTTACTGCTTATACTTTTGGAATAAAGAATTAGAACCAGTAATTATAAGTACCTTCCAGGAAACATTTAAAAATAATGCATTTAAATTAGTTATTTCTAATACCTTGCTTGAAGACGTAACCGACCAGGACGAACAAAAAGAAATAGTAAACAGATATCATACTACAAAAACATCTCACCGAGGAATGACGGAAAATAATAAAAATATTAAACAAAAGTATTATTGGCCAAGTCTTGAAAGAGACGTAATTAACTTTGTCAATTTATGCGAAGTATGCCAGAAAACTAAATATGATAGACATCCTTACAAGGCCATTTATAAACCAACGCCATTTGGATCTAAACCTTTAGAATACATATATATGGATATATATTCAATTTCAGGACAAAAATATCTTACGATATTGGACAACTTTTCTAAATTTGCAGCGGCATACCCTATCAACGAAACATCTCTCGAAATATGCCAAAACCTAATTAAATTCCTTTCACACCATGGTACGCCAAGTAAAATCACAACTGACAACGCGCAGACATTTAAAAGTAAATTACTATAGGATTTGTGTAAAACATATAAAATAGAATTACACTATACTACACCATATAACCCAAACTCGAATTCACCAGTCGAAAGATTACATTCAACTATTAAGGAAAGTCTTGTTGCCCTTAGAAACGATCACCGTACCAAAAAGATTCAAGAACTAATGGATATTGTAATTCTAAAATATAATAATAGCATATATTCTTCCCATGAATATACTCCTTTCCAAATTCTATAAGGAAATCTTAATTACCAACTAAATTTCGAGAAAAACTTAAATCAACTACAAACCGATTATATATATGACCTCGCGCGTACTTTCGACGAACTTAACGAAAAAATAAACGTGAAACTTAATGCCAAGAAAGCGAACGTCTTTAGCTAAATTAAACGAAAAACGTGAAAATGACCCTGAAATACCCGAAGGTACAAATCAATTAATAAATACACCTCAAAAACTACAACCCAAATATAAGTTGATAGAATTTAAAAATCAAAGACACCCTAAAGATGTTTGTAATTTCAGGTATAAGAATGAAGGCTACTGTACTCCTACTGCCAATGCTTGTGAGTGCGCAATATAAAATAGAAGAAATAGAAAACCCTCTATTACCAGTCTACGAAGGAGATAGTTATATAATAACGAACTTCCATCACGTCTACTATCATGTTAATCTAACTAACTTACAAGATAGTATAAAAGCAACAAAGTCAACGCTTTTAAGTATTAATTCGACTTTAAACAATTTAAATACACCTACAGGCCACTTATTGATAACCCGAACTTTAGATCTTATAGACCAAGCAGAATCTATTCAAACTTTTGTTAATCATTATACTACTTTACATAAAAGAATAAAAAGAGGACTCTTTAATTTCTGGGGAAAAGCTCAGACGCAGACGATGGTGAACGTCATGATCAATATATTAAAACACTACATGAAAATCAAGAAATTCTTCACTAAGATATATCCTCAACTCAAACGATTGTTAAACGACTAACAAAAGACTCCCAATTGAATAATATAAAAATTAATCAACAAGAAATACTGACTCAAATTAACTATTTAGCAAAAATGACACAGACGCTAACGACGACATCATATTTTATTATCTTACTCGATAATTTAGAGAACAATCTCCGCGTTATTAATGAAATCCGTAGTAACGTATAGACTACTATTTATTAACTTCGCAGAAATAAACGTAATGCATCACAGCATTTTTAAGTATAAAGAACTTAAGAACGTCATCGCTAAACTTGACCCGAAAACACGAATTCCCTTTGATAATATCAAATATTATGAGACGTCATAATTAAGAATGAACTTATTATATTCTATATGGCAGTACTTTTAATATTAAATAAACCGTTTACTCTCTATCGTATCTACCCGATACCTGTAAATAATAATATACCTGTTATAAATAACCTATTAAAATCCATGGATGATTTCTTCAACCTAAAAGAAAACTGTTATAAAATTGAAGAAATGTCGTTATGCCCACGAAACTTACTTAAAAAAAATGAACCCTGCATTCCACAAACAATTAATTTAACTAACCATTGCCCAATGATACAGGTAAAATACTTAGAAACATCGGTTACTCAATTAAAAGGCAATTCAATTTTAGTAATCCCCTATTCATAGGAAAAAGCATATTGCCAATGCCCAAATCAACAAAGTATTGAAATAATTAAGAAAGTTTCTTTAGTTTTCCTTTTAAACTGTAATGTTTCTCAAAAAATAGACATAATTAATTTCAGATTAAAACTTCCATCAATTACTATTTATGAGAAACTGGTTCAAAATGTCGAACCTTTGCAATTAAGATAAATTAGTGTCGAAAATATAGTAAATGCCCAAAATCTAGCAACCTACCCACTAACACGTTTAGACTTTGTAAAATCAGGTGTTCCAATTACTTTCTTTATTGAATTTTGTGTATTGTCAGACAAAATTTTAGTGGCCAAACTTAAGATTTTAGTTCATTTAGCAATTTAAAATGTACCAAAATTATGAAAAGTACATGATACAGTTTTACATTTTGTCAAACAAAAGCGCAGCCAATGAATTTTATTTCAGTACATATACAGAGCAGCATCAATCAGACAAGCGAATATTTCGGACGTTAAAAAATAATTTAACCAACTATCACAGGAAATCCGGGATTTGAATATAATTGGAGTGGTATTGGAAAATCCAAGAATATCTTCACGGGCACAAGCTGACGCTACAAATGCTGGTTTCATGTTTTTCACTTTACGTATTTCTAATCGGCCTTATCTTTTTTAAAGTTGCAGTGTTTGTTAAATTATTTCGAAGGTTTCTATGTGACGTCTTTTTCAATATACTATGCACGGCCTACTAATACATAAACAAATGTAGATACTAACGAGTTTACAGGGCTGAAAAGGACTGGGCATTTTTTTAAGACCATAGCCAACTAAGATTGCTATATAAAATAAGAAAGTTGTATTCCTTGATGAGAAAATAATGTTTTTATCCGAACTCAAAATTTTCATAAATAAAAAAGTTATGGGCAATTTTTAAAAAGGCCGGAATTGATAAACACTCTATATATCTGTTGGTAATGAAGATGTCGCCATGAGGTTTGGCATGTAATTCGATTTGCCCTATCTAGTTCAGAAATAGGTTTTTCCTGTTGAAACACTCCAATTACGGCCACCATAAGATTGCTATAACTAATGAACTAAATTGTATAGTGCACTTAAAAATTGTAAAATCAATGTTCTGAAAATGTTGATCAAAGTATTTGTCACCAAAATAGCCACCCCACATTCACATGTCTCGTCGACCACTGTTTATTTTCTGTATATTTTCTCTTTACTCATTTATTGCAAAAAATGCGCAAACTAAAATAAATGATGATGATGGGTAATGATTTTGAAATGAATTTGTTTCATATTTCAATCGTTCCCTGTATATTCATATCATGCTTCTAAACGGCATGGATTTTTTGGATGAATATGTAGTCAAATTTATAATAAACAATATTTTATTTTTTCTTACCAGGGTTTCCAAGAAGCTGTAGACCATTTCCCAAAATGGGTATCCATCCTTCAGGGACAGGTAATTTGTTATTTACTCGCCTTCTTCGTATACCGTCAGCAAACGATCTAAACGAATGCCCAGTCAAGAACCAGAAGACATATAGAAGAACTAAATAAACAATGAGTGACATGTTTGCTAGAACCCTGTGATATATTTTGAAACATAACAATAACACATTTTTAATATATCTTGTAGGAACCAACAAATCTTTGGCCCAAAATTGAGTCGGGTCACAAAGGGCATCTACATTTTTGATTGCGACAAATGGTAATGTTTATTATTTATCACCATGGCTGCTGCATTTTCGTAGTAGTTCTCGTTATCTTTTTAAAAATAATGATTGCAACTACACTCACTGGCAAAAAATGCGGCCACTAAAAACTAAATCTTTGCTTTATGATATATAAAAGCTAGAAAAAAACAGTTCAGACAAAGATAAGTGTAGTGCAATTTTTCGATGGTTTTACGGAGTATGTCCCTTATTAACAGAGATAAAGATCTCGGTTATTCTAAACCTTATTACAAATGTTACCGTCTTTTTACTAAGAGTTCAGTGGCATGCTCAGATTTTTTATATCTTGAATTATTTTAGATAAATAAATGAAATCCAATTTTTTTAAAGGGGTCAACCATTTGTTTTTAATATTGAATCTATAATTTACGTTTTGAAAAAAAAGGTTTTTGTTAGTTATCCATGACAGGTTATAAAAAAACTCACATGTCTAAATTCGTAATCAAAATTAGTAAAATAAAAAAAAACAAGCTTAGTTTTAATTATGCAATAGGGGAATCTTAAATTGATGACTTATGGAACTGGATCACAGGTGTTGTTCAAATTATTCTCATATTGCATTTTCATTGCACCGTATTAATGGTATTTGGTTAAGTTCGGGTTACCACGGAATTTTTTTAAATTTTCGGTTCCAATTGGCGGACGAGCTACTTTCAAAACTGTTCGTGGGTCCTGTTTAGCAGTTTTCGAATTTTTTCTCTCTTCACCATGAATGGAAAAAAATCTGTAAGTATGTGAACGTATGGTAATAGTTACATAGTTACAACAGAATCAACTGTAAAGTAATCATGCCTTCTTTCCTAAAAGACGTAAATGACAACTTGTTTCTTAAAGAGTTTGTAAGTTGTGAAAAACTTAAGATTGGCGACAAAAAACAAAATACTGGCGTTTAGTAACAGAAAACCGTTGGATGAGAAAATCTACGTGCAACTTGAAAGTTGTCTGTTAATAAAAAGCACTAGAACACTTCCAATACCAATCTATAATATCCCATTTTTTGAAAATGCAGAATTAAAAAATGTAATGTTGTCACTTTTATGCTAATTTTGCTATATTAAATGTAGTGTCCTATTTATGTTCATTTCGCATGTCGACTTTAGTAAAGTCTCGTAATTTCAAAATCTTATCTTTATTAATTCGTGAATTACGGGAACACCCCTTTTTCAGTAAAAAGTACCATAACGCTTAATTATCTACGAAACTGCATAAGTTGGAAGCATAAAATTCAATAGGTTGAAGTTTTTGATCAGTAGTTGCCTGAAAGTTTGATAATATTTTTAACAAAATGAATAATGATCGTGTTTAAGGGAAATTGGCCCTATTTTTTTAAATTTTTGTCTTTTTAACTTATATTAAATACATTTTGTCTCATTTAATTGTAGAAAATCTTCAAACTCTTTTTAGCGAAATAAAAATGAAAAAGTGAAAAAAATTTGAAATTTTTCAACTGAAATAAAAGTGAAATATTTCTTTAAAAAATCTGCGAAAGTCTATGATTCTTCACAATTCACAATCTTTGCAGTATTTTTTGTTACTCCTAATAAAAGGTCCCAAACAAATTACACTATCGTGTGAAATAAAAGTGAAAATGTGAAAATATGCTTCCATAATGTAAGTATAATAGAAGTTCGTCACGGTCCACTGAAGATTACACTATTGAAGGAAATAAAAGTTCAAAGTAAGAAATTTTTGAAAGAAATGCTTCGAAAATGTATCTCCTTAAAAGCTCTATCCTTAAATCTATCTAACGTACATCGGAACTATAAACAAATAGGTTTAACGGCAACTAGTAAATATGTCGTTTGAATATTAGGAAATTTAGCAACCGGATAATCTGTTATTATTTTTAATATGAAAAATTGTGATTTTTTTCGTGAATTGTCGTAGAAAAATTATAGTATGCAACACGTTTGGTAAACTCTTTATCTCAAATGTCGTTTGCCGCACTTGTTGCATAATATACTATTATAAAACATATTGCCTACTATAGTTTTTCTACGGCCATTAGTTTTTGGATACATTTTTGCAAAACAACACTGGCATGACCATCAAACCCATCAAACCCATGCGGTAATATCTTATCTGTGGGACACGTGATAAAGGGACGTAAAATTTTGTTCAATTTGGTATTTGTTCTGTCGAGGGTTTGTGAGACAATTATATTAATACGTTAGTTCAGAAACTGAATATTTATTTCCTAAAGACTTTTAAAATAAATACAATGCCGGTTATCTTGCGTTGCCTGAGGATAGGGATAGACTAAATCCTAGAAGTTTCTACGGCAGGAACGTTAACATGCTACGTTGCCATGTCTAACAGAACAGTACTCATACGAAAAAACTAGGAAGTGCAATTGCCACCACTAGGAGTAAATGTATTTCACACAGCCATTTTGAATTAATACGAAGAAGTCTGAAACAGTTTCTATGTTTGCTGATCTTTAGAGATACTTGACATTTTTCATTCTTGTACGATCTCGATAGGTCTAAATTGCAGTGTTGTTAATATTCATCTGTGCGGGCTGATCCATTGACCAATACCATCCAATCTCATATCAGAAAGCGATTTCAGATGTAAACTGCATTCGACTTGCCTTTTATATTCTGTGAAATCAAATTTTTATGGGTTATATTATCAGAATCAGAAAATGAACGAATTGTTGTACGTGCGTCTCCTTCGCTATGTTGTTATGTTTTTATAGAATTGGATAGGAGGGATGCCGTCGTATACAAAAAAGCAATATCCATATTTTATTTTAGGACTACCTGATGGTGGCTGATCGTTGAATGTTACCCGATGATAGTGTTAACGATTTCATAATTTTCTTTTTGCAATTTGGCCTTTTTTAAGGATGATTTGATTCCGTCCATACTTTATTATATATAACCAAAGTTTGTAAAACATATTTTGGTGTTGTTTTCCTGGTTACAGATATTAACCTGGTAAAATATTTAGATTCCCTTATTTGGACGATGCTGTAAGTATATTCTACTCTGTTATAGTTGTTAAAAGAAAGACTTTTTTATTGGCATTTATATAAAAAAAGGCATAACACATTATGAGAAAGAGTTTCGTCTATATCAAATTATAAAAGTTTACAGAAGAGATCTCTAAACTTTTTTAAATTTCTTAAATATTTGTGCTTAGGTCAATATTAAGAACTAACACTATAGGAAAAGTCGAAGTTCGCTGAAAAAATGAACAAAAAAGCTTTTTGAAAATCTCACCTCGTGCAGCTATGATAACTTTATTTCCTTTTGAGGAATTTCCGAAGCACCCACTACAACAAATTCATTTCTCCCATTCATCACCAGTCAGTATCTAAGAATCAGGGTCTGATCTAGGTAGAAATCCCGGTTTTTGACGAGATATTGATTATACGTAGGGATAAGCGGCAGTGGAATTATGTTACGCCATGAATGAATTGCGATGGAATTACATGGAGTGCCAGTGGAATTCCGAGGAATTCCTTAGAATTCCAGTAGAATTCCAAAGAACTTAACCATCAAAATGCATATGGTGTTTGGAGATATTTTAATTACTAGTGGGGTTTGGACCGAATATTTTTGAAATAGACAAGAGTAAGCCAGTAAGCTACTCAAAAATACCCTAATTTATGATGTCCTCTTCCCTGTCCCCGATCACTAGCTTCTGCAGATATTTGCGGTATTTTAATCCAGTATCTTAAAGCGATAGGATATTTTCATGTAAATGCCAATTTATAAACAACAAGGTGACATCCTATACAATACGTCCACCACCAAGCAGTCATAGTTGTGTCGTGATGCTAGAGATTACGTAAATAAAGTGCTGGCTATTTATGCCAAAATATTATTTTCATCGTGTGCAGTGTTTATGTTGGATCTTCTTTGTGCCGGCTTCTAGTCGCAGGTCTAGCAGTTATGAACGTAAAAGATACAAGAAAAAAAATTTATCCGTCAAAAGAACATCGAAGTTCGATAACATTCCCGAATTCACCCCTGGGAACTCAAATTTCAGCTCTTCAAAATGGATTGGGAAAATAGAACAACAGGTTGAACTTAGCAACTGGGACGAAGGATCCAAAATCTACTACATGCAAAATCGATTGCCAAAAATGGTTTGAGAACTTGCCTTCATATCAGTTCATCTGGAAGGTTTCTGTTGCAAGACTCTGGTGATGCTGATGGAGTCACTCAAAAAATATAAATTGAATTGCGATTGGAAATTCGACTATTGGTTGAAAGCCGATTGGATTTCTGGTACAAATATGTGTATTTCGACTGGGAAGTACCTTGTTTTCGATTCATTAGGGGTTTGAAGACCGACAGGGTTTCTAACAGAAAAAAAATGATTTCAACTGGAAATCTGGTAATCGACTGGGTTTAAAATGATAATATTCAATTATAATATAAAGTTGGAATCGATTGGATTACTGAAGATCAGAGTTCGAATGGAATCCCGATAATGTAAAAGATATCTATTGGGTTTCTTATACAAAATTAGAATCGATTGGATTACTGACGATCAGGGTTCGAATGGAAGATATCGGTTGAATTTTTCGTATAGTGCTTACTCATGGTTTAAAACTGAAGTTAATGGTTAGAATTAAATCCAACTGGAGTTGGCCCTAACTGGTACTGTTCTTGTATAAACAAATTAATGCATTAAAAGACAATAGGGATACTAATTAGTCCTGTTTTCTAGGCACGTGAAACGAATGGTTTCGTGTGTTCGCAGCTTGGCCGACTGTAAACGCCAAATTGTAAACACCAGGGTAATATCCTGTACACCACCAGACACTCGTAGTGTGTTTATGCCAAAATACTATACGTCTTTATATCAGGGGAATTACTCCAAATATGGATGGATTAGTTTTGTAAATTTAGGCTCAAGTGTTTCATTCATTTTGGTGTCGCTATTAAACCGTCGTAGTTTGTAATAAATTCAAAACTTCGCGATTTAATTATAATGCTGTACCTATTTTTCTCATTTCATTTTGTTATTTTTTATAAATTATACCTATCGTCAAAAATTATAAACACCACTTTAATACACAATCTTGAAACGCGATCGGTGAACATATTTGCACATTCAACTTTTGCCACGAGATGTCAAAGGTTGCCCATACCTACAGATAATAGGTGAAGATGGGAGGGAACAGAGTGAATAGTTGAAATTAGATTTGACGTGAGTGAAGTCAATAGAGCAAAGGTTGAAAGGGTTTATATGGCCAACATGTATGTTTTGAATAGTATTAAACACCGAATTTTAATTTTGAAAATTTTATTTCATCAGATATACCAAAAATCCTGAATTATTGTTAATGTTAAAACAATGTTACAGACCATAATCGTGTAATTGGATTGCGCTGCAATCGTAACCTCGAATAAAAAAAAGTCCACACTAATTTAACGTTGCATAAATAAATATTTCACCAGATTTTTCGAGTAATATCTAATTAGACAGGATAAAAATCGTCCAGACTTCTCGGTTGGACTTCCGTTTTGAACGGCGCATTGTTTCGGAACCTCTACCGCCATGTCTTCGTCGTTTAACTCATTTAGAAATGGTTTTATGTTTATATCGCCGTCATCTGCTATAAATCCGGAACTCTTCAGAAAACAAAACGCACTGTTTTCAAAATTCGTTGGTAACGGAATATCTTCGTCTTTCAAAAGTCTTGCTAATATCATTTGCGCTATTCCTTCGTCTATGGCTGTGGCTTTGGCACTGCAAATCCGAGAAAATTTTTCGTTGCTGTGACGCGTGTTAGAGATCGTCTGCAAATAAATCAGTTTTTATTTATTTGTTATTATTTGGAAAAGTCTATCTAACACACTACAAATTAGTATAATAGTTGGATAATCACATCACGAACCTAACCTAGGATCTAACCTAATATAAATAATAAAAAAAACAAGAGAAGAGTAAAAAACTGAAATTTATAATTATACTTTATTGGGTAATAACGTTGCAAATGTCAAATAAATTCTTAAGTGAGATAAAATGATTACCTACAATGCTTTACCTCCAATCTGGATGGTTTTTTGAACAACGTGGTCGAAGAGGGAGTTGACGGAAACGTTCTTCAACAAAATCTCACAAAAATGAACTAGAATTCCAAATACGGGCACCACAATTTGCTTAGCCCCAACCAAATCCCTAATTTGTTATTTGAAATGAGTAGATTACTCCCCTTGGAAACCAAAAGCAGCAGGACTTTCGTTCGACCACTATACACGCGCCGTCTGATAAGGGAGGACGCTCTTTTGACTGATTTTATGCACCCAATCGGTCCCATGCACATAGGAAAAATATTACGAAACACTTGGAAACATCGTCAAAACTCCATGTGGATCGAACAATAAATCTGGAACGATTTTCTGTCCGGGACTTATTTTTAATGTTCAATGAAATTTTGTATTGTGTGTATTGGGCTTAAGAGTTTAGGATTGGTTCTCAAAGTCATAAAGTTCCTCAATGCTATAACTCAGAGGCGTTAAATGCAAAACTGAGAAGTTTGATATTCTTTGAATGGTTCAATGGGAAGGTGGCCTTGAAGTCAAGTTAAACTGGTTAAAGGTATTACAAATATTTTTTTATGATAAATATAGTGATTCTCGGAATACAGTCGCACTTAGCACCCGACATAAAAGCGTCTTGCATGCGTCACTTCCTCTTAGCAATAAATAACAAAACAAACGTTCGGGGTGCTACACCGTGTTTACCTTCGTCAAATAAGAAAACACTTAAGTAATGAAGTAACTATCCCCCCCATGAACTGTAAATCACAAGAATACTCGACAAAAAGCAGATGCAAGTAAGCCTTGGGTTCAAAGCTAATGAAAGTTATAGGTTATATGGTTATAGGACTTAAAAAATAAATTCTCGAAAACCGTTTATATGATCCTTGATTTGCTTAGTTGATATATCAGGCTTCGCAACAACTGCTTGTAAAACATAATTTTGGGTTTCTTCTAAAGGTTCCTTTTTCGAGATTATGGCTTTTCAAATCGACCATAATCTTTTAAATTTCCAGCCAGCTTTAGAAAAATGGACGTACATGGTCGCTTTTTTGTATTAAGATATATTGCTGGTGTACTTAGAGTAGTTCTGTTGCACAAAACGTAGGACGTTAGCATGCCAAACTTTTCTCCATAACTATACTGGGCATCCGGCATATTCGACAATATTACACAATATTAGCTATCCAACAATAAACAATATTAACGACTATAGTCACAAGAATGATAATTACTCCAACAACAACAGCTTGACAAACAGTGTAACAAGTACTCTTTTATCATGACATTATATATATGTGACAGACTACTTAGAAATAACTAATAGAAAAAATGCAAGTTTCTTTTTAACTAAAAAAAGACATCTGATGCTTCGTTGAATTTGTAATAAAAAATGGAATCAGATACATGGTGTAATTTCTTTCGCACCATGTAAATGAAAAAGTTGATGGCGGTAGGATATAAAATCTAAAAAAACCATCACGTAGCACCTTAAAAGTACCAATGAGGAAGTGTTATTATTTCTTAAATTTATTAAAATCACGTCAGAAACAAATAAAATCGATGTTGCCAATTTCCCGTTTTTTCCAAATATTTCAGCAGTCCATAAAATGTTTTCAAGTTTCAAGAACACAACTTTTTCCTAATTTAACGTAAGTTGTATTTTCAACAGGTACTGAAATTCCCATTCTTGGGATCCTTATCTAAGACGTACTGTATATGTTATATTATAGGCGAGTACAAAAAACACTCCGATAATTTAAACACTTTAGGAATAACCTATTATGAAAGTAATTTAAAAAATAGAACTTTACTCCCATAAATAAAAGTAGGCTCAATTTTCTTTAACTCCAAATCTGGTACATAAAATGCATCAACTTAATTCAGTACGTCAGTATAAAAATCAAATCATAAAATTAAATGTATCGAATTTTAACAGATTTAAAGTTATTTAAGGTGTCTAAAAAGGAAGTGGCGCATGTCCAAGAATCTAAAACTATTTGGATGCAATTTTCCGTGCCGTAAGCCCTGTATAATCATGTAGTTAGACGACGCTCTCCGAAGTAGATAAGAAAAATATAATGGTCACCCGGCAACACAATGGGCACACAATATTAATTATTATTAATAATGACAATTACTCTAAAAACAACGACTCGACAAACAGAGTAACAACAACGATAATTACTATATTAAATAATATGTGACAGATGAGGGATATCTATCTACATCAGTGCATTTGTTTGAAACGTTTACTTAAAAATATAAAAAAATGAATTTCCTTTTAACTAAAAAACCATAGATCGTTAAATTTGTAAATAAAAACATTTGGTACATTTTTTCGAACCATATAAACATATAAATTTGATGATGGTTTCATATAAACGAAATCTGAAAATGTTACGATGTAGTACACTAAATGCGCCAATAAGAAAGTGTTATTAGTTTTTTGATATCACTTCAAATAAAGTCAGAAAAAATAAAATGGATATTGTCAAAATCCGATTTTTTCCAGCAGGCCATCAAAATGTTTCAAGTTTTTAAAAGACATGTACAAAAACCTTTTTTTTGAATTTAACATAAATTGTTTCTTCAACTCTCCTGTATGCGTTATAATATTCGAAGTTCCATTAAAAAACACATAATTTTAACACTCTTGCGACAAGCTAGTATGAAAGTAATTTAGAAAATAGTTCTTTACTCCTATAAATAAAACTAGGTTTAATTTTCCTTTACTTAAAATCTGGTACATAAAATGTAAAATACAAGAAAACTACTCGGAAATTAATTTCAGTTAGTTTTGGTTAGTTTGGCTGGATTAAGCTGATTTTCATTACACTGGGTTTCCTAGGGTGGGTTTCGGTTAGTTTGGGTTTGTTTTGGTTAGTTTTGGTTAGTTCAGATTTGTTGAGATACAGATTATGAATCAATATAAAAATCAAATCAAAAAATTTTATGTAACGGTGTTTAACGGATTTAAAGTAATTTCAAGGGTGTAAAAGCGAAATGGTGATCTGCTACAAATTTGTTCCGTGTACCGTAAGCCCTGTATGACCATGTAGACGAGACCCTCCGAATTGGATAAGAAAAGGAAAAGTAAATTACCTTAGATATCACAACAACACCAATTTGCCCTAATATTAATAATACCAAAAAAACTCTCATTCTTTCTCACTACGCCAAGATCTGCACAAACTGAATGCGTTCTGTGGCACCGACTACGAAGGTCAGAGTTCAGACTTATTGTTGCTGTCCATTATCTTTGATTGAAAATAATATTCATCATTTTAAATTGCGTTTATAGTCGGAAGTGTCGTTTTTCTCGATATAAATAAGATTCTCGTGCCATATTTTAATGATTCATTTTTTATGAGCAAGTTCAAACAGATCTAACCCTTATTTTCAGTACACAATAGGATGCGCTTGCTTATCTTTTATGTTAAAGTTGCAGAAAGCCCTGTAGATCTTAGTTTACGATTTAAAGAATAGAAGTAAAATAAAGTACATGAGTACAGTAAGTTTTAGCCGCTCTGGTATTATTCATGTTAAAATAGTATGTATAATAGGGTAGAAATGTAACTTGCGCATACTCTAAGATTATTTAAAATTATACAGAACGCGTCGTGTCGTATATTATGTAAAAGTATGTATGTACTTTATAAACCCTGTCTTAGAGTTCTACCTAACAGTAAAATTTAGCATATTCATCACGTGGAAAAGTTAATATTTTTTTGCAGATTTTGGAGATGACATTATTGATATTTGACGGGGAGACGAACTATACTATGTTTATTAATGCGAGAGAGAAATTAAAGTAAATTTGCAATGTCAAGGATCATTAATCAAGGTGCACAACTTAATAGTTATATCGTAAAGTCTAGATAACTTAAAATGATAGTATTAAAATATTAGTTATTTCAGTTTTCACCTCGAATGAGTCACGCTAATTTGCATACCTTTTTTACAATACAACTTCATTTGCAAATTTTAGTCATCATGGTCCGAGCGGTAAACTCCAGAGCTAAGGATATACAGCGTAATTCCTGTTTTAATCATAATTCCTCGAAATTCGACAGAATTCCTTAGAAATTCCACTGGAACTTTTCGGAATTCCTTTAAAAATATTTTTTTAATTTCAAATATTTAAACCCATTCATTATTATATTAAACTAATAAGGAACAAAAATACCATTAAACAGAATATAAAGAAACTAAATCAATGTTTGTTTGGGTGCCTACACTTCAAAATTAGGGAGTACAAATACAACATAGTATATGAATAGTGAAATTAATTTATTACTATACAGGGTTGTCTGTAATTTTAATTACTGATTAGTTTTATCTGTTTTGTAATAATGATACTTTTTGGCTTTTGTATTGTGCGAAATGAGCTATTAAACCATAAAGAACAATATTTATAAATCTAAATAACAATAATAATAAAATTGTGAAAAACTAAATATCCATGTCCGAATTCGAGAATGAAAAACGTTAATAAACGTTGAAGTACTGGCAGATTTAGGGAACTACTTGTATGTTTAAATAAGAATAAGTACGAGTAGCCACAGATACCTTAATGCTGTAATGGTAAGATCATCTGTCTGCCATTCAGTACGTCGCTGGTCGGTCGTGGTTTTGGTGCTATATTTTTTATTGTTGCAAAAATCGGTCTTACATATTGATCAAGGATTTTTAATTATATAGAAAATTGGAGCAGTCGTTGAGATCATCTTTAAGTTTGTTTACTCCAAATGGAATAAGAATTTCGAAAATATTTTTTTTATTTTTAAAGAAATCAATGGCTTGTTTTTATTTCTTTCAAAAATATTCAGTCCAAACTCCATTGGTAATTAAAATGTCTTGAAACACAAAATGCATTTTGCTGTATAAGTTCTTTAGAATTCCACTAGAATTGTTCGGAATTCGTCGGAATTCCTTCATAGTGCATAAATCCACTGCGGTTCACCCTTCGTTATGGTCCGAATAATAATAAGAGCTATAATCATTGGAGTCGAGAGAAATAGTAAGAGGCTCTACAGTGTTAAATTTATCAGCTTCCCACATTCGCTCTTCTATTTCAATTACGTTTGTCACACTTACTGCATTTTACACAAACTACTACTTCTGCAAATGGGTTTCAACAAACCCTGTTACTTGTGCCTATACCAAAAATTATATACAAATACAAAATATACATACAAAGAGGTTTATTCAAGTCTACAATCTACGATAGCTAATCTTTCAGTATATCTTTCTGAAATTACTTCTTCTTTAAAGGATAATGTCTTAAGTAGTAGCTGCACAATCTATTACCATAATACGCTCAAGAGGAATAAGATCTAACGTTTGCTAGAGTAGTCTACAGTACGTTTGATTGAAATGCTATTAAGCCCCTATAAAAGCTTATCTCGCGCTTTAAAGTTTTTATCTTTCACTTACCCAAGTTTAGTCCAGATAATAGATTTTCCTGTTTTTCACCAAAATGAACAGCATGGCACCAATTTTTTTGTGAAGCTTGTTCGAAAATTGCAAGTATAAATCATATTTTAATTTGTTTTCAGTATATAATAAAAAGGAAGACGATTTTTTTGGTATTATAGAAAATTTTGGCTTTTATAAATTACAACAATTTTGAAGTATTTAAACAATTTTTCTACCCAATCATTTTATAGGAAAAAAGAAAGATCTACTACATTTTTGGCATAAGGAAAAGGCCGCTGCATTATTTTATGCCGAAAACTAGAATCAGTTTAAAAAGTTATCCAAGATCTAAACAACTCATCTTCTGCCGTTCTAATAAATGAAAAAGTTCTTTTTTCTAACCCAACAGAGGAAGAAAATTTCATATTTTTAAAGAAAATTATTCTTTTGTACCTATAGTACTCACGAAATTGCACCCTACCTCTGCTTTTTTGGTTAGTTTTGGTTGGTTGGACTCGGTGGCTTTAATAAATCAATTTGAGGTAGATTGCAAAAAAATTCAAGTACAATTGGGATTGCGGTTATAAATAAATTTCTGTCAGTAACTGCAAAGCACACATTCTTCAAAATCCTAAAAATGTTTCAGAAATTTTTGTAGGCAATTTCACTAATTTCTAAAGAGAACTAGATTTGTAAAAATTAGAAAACTAAAATACTGTCCGATAAGCTCTGTAAATGTTGAGACAAATGTTTACAGGTAAAAGACATAATTTTCTTTTCTGAAATTTTGAAAAATATTTGTTATTGCTATTATCTGGATTTATAAAAATAAATTGTTGAATTATTAATGAAATTATAAAATGTTCTATAATCGCGAATAATATTTTGTCACTGTAAGATGTTTTGTAAGTATCAATTGTGTATTTATGATTTTGTATGTATTTTTTTGAACATTGCTTATTAAATTCGCCGAAAACATTTATCCGGAAACACAAGCTACTTTTAACCTTTGTTTATGGTGATTTTGCCAACAACTTGATAGTTCACTATACGAGATAAATCTTCCTGCTAAAGAAAAAGAAGCTAAAATAAACCAAAACTATTTACTGACCCCTATATATTTGGACCTGTTTAACCTGATATCGGAGCTATTTTGATCTTGATTAAATCTGATCTCGATCTATTTGAGAGCTGCTGCGTAGCTGTATGGACCTGTTTAACTCTGATCTAGACTTGTTCGAGAGCTGTTCCATAGATGTTTAAGACCTAAGTTTGGTCTGATCAAAAGCGTCCTCGCTAACATTAACTTTCTTAAAATAAATGACCGGAAATATTTTGTTGCGACTCAATATTTTTTAAATTTTTATACAATATGTCCTGCAGCCAAATATTCAAAATAGCCGATTATTGCTTTGCATTCTTTAGCACGTGTACGCAGTAGTTGGATATGGGTCTGTATGAGTGTGATTTGAGCTTCGGGCTGCTGGATACTTTCCTCCCATTGCGTCAGCTGCTTTTCCAAATTGTTTTTCAAGTTAAAAATTTCACGAACAACCCTATTTTCGTTGTCATCCTTAAATGCGTCGGACCATTCACTTTGTGCTTACGGTAGAGCTTCAATTTTTCTTTTCTTTATTTATTTAAAAAATCGTTCGAAAAAACAACTTGTTCCTTGTCTATCTCGGACGCTAACAAAATCAAAACTAAATTTAGTGGCTTGTCCAAGCCCAACCAAGGCACACAAATTTTATCTACTTTTTTTTTTTTTGCTAAATGCCGCTTTGTGTTGCTGATTCGTACAACGTCGAAGTTTAGGTAGAGCTACAATTTTCAAGTGACTGTACGCTGATTTTAACAAACTAGACGAGTTACCTTCTCTAACATCTCTAGGTTTCATTCCGATCGTCCCGGGCACGCCACTGTTACATTTTTCTACCACAGAGGGCAAAACGTAGATCCATTTATTTTTTTGTAAATTGTTCATTATACGCTGGCTTTTGAAAAGTTAGTAAAGTAATGCATGTTTAACATACATCGAAGCCTGTTAAAATTTTTTACGAATTTATCAGATTTATATAAAAATATATATATTTGGAAAAAATAATAGTAAAAAGAAATGCCAAAAACATATTTACCGACCTACAATATAAAAATATTTTCGCAGTGTTGCCGATTCTTCCCGAAATCAGTTGCAACATTGAAATTTCAAATAGAATATAGAGTATTTTATATTTTCGAAATTTAACAACTTCCACACACATCTTGTTGGCAAAAAAAAATTTTTAGATAGATTCCGACACCAATAAAGTGCACTTTTTAAAAAAATATAGGCATAAATAAAATTTTTCTGTTACGATTTTTTAAGAAATGAAACATACTTTTCATTACGGTACAGCACTCATAACAATTTACATGTTAGAGGCGTTTATAAAGATTACATGTTTTATTCTAACTCACCATACAGAATGTATTGTCAAGTGTCAATCAAATGAAGTTTCTTGATGAAAAAATTACAAGAAAAAGTGTCTGAAGTTTGAATGACGTTTGCAGTGTTGAAATTATCCAAAATAATCCATATTTTTCTGTTCAAATGCTTGACTTACTCGTAAGTGAAGTGAAAATGAAATATTTTGCTTCTATGAATCGTACTAAATTAGAAAGGTTCTTGAAAAATTTGTTGGAAAATGAAAGTATTTTGTCTAAGCCAGTTACTTCAAGTGAAAGAAAATATCATCAATTTGTTAACTTACTCTATGCATGCACAGAAAAAAGAGTTAGGTTTTTTAAGAAATGCCGTCGACAGAATTTTGAA